CCCCTTTTATAAATTTGTAATGGTTTGACTTAGGGTTGGGCATAATCGTATAGTGTGCAATWAATCGTGAGAAAAACATTAATCTATTATTTTTTGGCACATGATGATTAATACGATTAWTGCCACCAGGCAGACTGACTGCATATTTCCCTGGCCAGTCTCGTCGGTGCTCCTCTCCTCTTCAAATATGATGAACTTTTTAAAAAACTTCTGTAATTTATTTATCTATCAACACAATTAAAAAATTGATGTATAACCTGAAGTCTGTTATTTTGACACAATTTGGAACAGATTTTTATAAAGAGCAAATCTTTCCCTCTAAATTGGTCATGTGACTAGGACATAAGGGTGTCCAGGGGATTAATCGTCAAATTAATCGTTATCGGCTAAATACCGCAATTAATCAAGATTCATTTTTTTTTGCCAATATTGCCCAACCCTAGTTTGACTCTCTTTATAAAGTGCTTCCTGGTACAGTCGGCTCATGAAGCGAGTTGGTATTTTATTTTATTTTGTTTTTTTAAAAGTGATTTAAGCAAAATACAGAGTGAGCGCTTTCAGCACAAACACTTCCACGAGCTTCAGAGCAATCACACAAATAAAGTTCTTATGTGTACATATTCCATGCCAAACAAACAAACTAACAAACAAACAAACAACTAACCTCCGAGTCTGAAGTTCACCGGCACGCGTCACTCCTCTTTCTCGTTCTTTATCTTAGTTCAGCTCAGGACCCAGGACTCAGAGCTAGCTTCCTCCTCAGTCAAACGACGACTCATTTTGACACACAGACTTATGAACAACACTACTACAAACAATGCACACACACTCACACACTCTAACACACGTCTGCACTACTAGCTTCCAAAATGCCGAAATCAATCTGTTCTCCTCCCGTCTCCAAAGGCCAGAAGTGATCTGTTTACAAGCCCATGACAAAAATAGGTTTCATGGTGCAGTCACGCACTTCCTGGTCACAAAATGTCCTCTAAATATGCACCAAATACGTAAAAATGCACACATTATGGCAAAAATTATTCATCATTAAATCTGGTTTTATTTGGAAGTAAATAAAAAATAAAAATATATAAAAACATTACTTTTATAAAGTTTGAAGTCCGTGCTGTCCAATCCAGTTCAAATGAACACTGAAAGCTCTCACTGTTTTTTACAGAAGCCCTGTGAAAGCATCACAGCTTTGCCGATCTCAGAGGGTTAAAAGATAAAAAATTTCCTGTATCCGCATCGTGATCCGGAACATCACCCAAATTTAATTGTGTGTTCCTTGGGCGAGTACCCACATGTGGTAAAAATGTCATGACAATTCGTCTACAAGTTTTTGAGTAATTTTGTCCACAGACAGAACGACAGACCAACATATGCGACCGAAAACATTTTTTTGCAAAGCTATAGTTCAGTGTGGAGAGAAAACAAACAAAAAATGTTTCTGCAGGGGAACAAAGTGCAGCGCTGTACCGTGATCACGCAGCGAAAAGTGCCTGGAACAAGTGAAACATCTTGAACAGACTCTAAGTGGAGAGYACACTGAACATGCAAGTGGAAGGAGAGGGGGAGAAAGACGGTGGAAGAGTAGGTGTCTCTGAAAACAACAGGAGAGAGAAAGGAGGTTTGCTTTGTTCCACTTCAAAGTTTTTTTTTTTGTTCCCCCACACTTCTTTTCCTCCGTGGCATCAAACTGAACCCTCAGTCTCGCTTTGGTTGTTCTGCTTTCACAAGAACATTGTGATCAGAGCTTCATATAGTTTGTGCGTATGTTCGGCACAGCTCTGGTCAGTCTTTATGTGGTGCATCATATGAGAAGGAACCTTCTAATGAAGCACTAGACAGCTCCTGAGGCCCTTTTATCTGAGGACAGCTTCATCATATGCCGTGCTAAATAGTTTCAAATATGAGCTTTCCTTTGAAGATGTATATTCAGTGCAGCAACTAAAAACTAATTACATCCTGCTGCTTTATTTATTATAGCACTGGCTGAGGGACCCTATTTATCTTTACTGTGTAATGTTGGGTGGAGACTGGCCCATTGTATACTTCCAAGTGTTGTTGCTGTGCTGTCAACAGTATAATTATGGTATTGTGTTGTCAGTAATGGTAAACTTTTGACTCCTAATGGTAGAGTAGAAGCAGCTAGTAGGATACTGAGGCAATGATAGAGTACACATCCTCTGTGTGTGCTCAGCTGCGACTGTGTGTTGGTGAGAAAGTGCACTCGTGGGAAAAACACTGTGTCACCACTGGTATTTTGTTATGTACGGCTGCATACATAATGTGCTAATACTCAACGCCTGTGTTGCCAGCAGATTTATGCAGATGAGGACCATTTGTACTTTTTTCTGCTGCTATTGGCATAATGTTCCCACCTCTCTGGGCTTTGGCTGTTGAAAGAGAAGGATGATGAAATAATTAGCGGTGGCGTGAAATGAATGAGTTCTCCTATTTTTTTTAATTGTATTATTTATTGTCCTAACTCATCTGTGTCTAGCTGACTAACTGTAGCATTTTAGTGCTGTAAGCTTTGTGTACAGTGTCAGCAACTCTAAGACCTTTCAGACACTTAGGTTCTTATGTRTGGAGAAGGCAGAAATCATTGGAATATAAATATGTTAGAATTCCATAATACTCACTAACTAGACTTCTCAGATTTAGAGTAATTGGAGGAAATAGACCTTTCTAAGAATCATAATTCATTGAGCTCAAACAGCTTTCTGGTCAGAGGTGAGACGTTGCCTCAAGCAGACGAGTTCAAATGTCTTGGAGTCTTGTTCACAAGTGATCAAATGATGGAGCTGGAGATGGGTTGATCAGGGCCTTGTTCCCAATAATGAGGGCATTAAAACGGTCTGTCATGGCAAAGAGAAGACTGATCGAAAAAGCAAATCCCTCAATTTATTTGTCTATGTTCCAACTTTTACGTGTGGTCATGAGTTGTGAGCAGAATATTAAGAGCTTGAATCCAAGTAGCTGAAATGGTATTCTTCTAAAAGATGGCCAAGCTCAGCTTTCAGATATAAGATGATGAGAGCCATAATTTATGGTAAGCTCAGTTTAGAGCTGCTGTTACTCTGCATCAAAAGGAGTCAGCTGAGGTGGTCTAGCTGTCCCATTAGGGCCCCTACTTGTGGACATTGTCCAGCCATGTCTAACTGGGAGGAGACCTGGGCAGGCACAGATCTTGCTGGAAGGATTATATATCCTCTCTGGCCAAGGAATGCCTTGGGTTTGCCCAGGAGGAGCTGGAGTGTGTCACTGGAGAGAGGGGTGTTTGGGTTTCCCTGCTAAAACATCTGCCTCTGGGACCTAACCTAAGCATTAGAAGATGGATGGATGGATGGATGGATGGATGGATGGATGGATGGATGGATGGATGGATGGATGGATGGATGGATGGATGGATGGATGGATGGANGGATGGATGGATGGATGGATGGATGGATGGATGGATGGATGGATGGATGGATGGATGGATGGATGGATGGATGGATGGATGGATGGATGGATGACAGACGCACTGAATATTTTTTTACCTGCATAATCCTGTTCACGGACACAAGATGCTGGTGCCTGTCTCAACAGGGTTTCCAGACTAATAATCTAGAATTATATTTTTAATCCAACATAAACAAACAAGGGGCTTAATTAGTTCAGTGTTCAGTACTGTGGTCTTGTAATCTTGAGGCTGCAGGTTCAAGCACATGTTGTCTCAGGAAAGGCATCCGGAGTAAAACAATTGCCAAATCATTCACACGCGCTTGCTCTCTGTAGCAGCCCCCCGCAGAAGAAAGCAACCCAAAGGAAAACAACAACAGCAATGTAAACAAGAAAAAATGCTGTAAACATATTAGTAATGAGAAATCATTAGGAACTGTTTTACAGTCCTAACCAAGTTCCAGATTTATGAACATCGGGGAATACATTAGAAAACTGAACAGCTGTGTTTTATTTGTTGCATTCCTGTCAAATGCACAGTACCTGAGGCTGTTTATGTTCAATTTCTATAGATTCAATTTACATATATGCATATGTTCATCTCTTTGGTCACTTAAACTGTTAAAAAAAGATTAGATCAAAAACAAAAACAATGTTTACTATTTTATCCTTAGTGGAAAAGTGAGTATTAGCAACAGTGAGTTTCATTGAATTTTGTGCAGGTTGGGTTTGCTTTAATTAAAGTTACTAAATATATCATAGTTGATTAATATGTTCACCTAGGACCTTTATAACCTTGTGTATGATAACTGTATTACCATTTCATATAGGACTAGAGAGCAGCTGATATAATGCTTTTGGGCATGAACTGCTATTTTCTCTAATAACTGAGACCTTTCTGCAACAATATGCAAAACTTCACTCTTTGTATTAAAAATAAGAKAACTGTCATTATTGATTCTAGCGCAGCTTTGTAAAAATCCTGACAGCCAAGATCTTAGTCATTATCAAAGAAGCAGGTTCTTTCCTTAGTTTGTGGATGTAGGCTTGCAGTTTACCAGCACAATAAAACATTATTTTGTAATATGTTTAACTGGAACTGAGCTGTACTTTGTTTTAGGTTTTTAGTAGTTTAGTAGTTAGACAACTGGTGTTCTCTTCATTTTTTGTATAAACTAAAACAAACAATTAATTTTTTTTTAAATATTACTGATAAGACTAGAAAACTTGTTCATTTTCGTCAAAATCAATTTAACAAGACTGAATAGATGATTTGGAAATACTTCAACAATAGAGCTAACTTATGTGTGAAATGTGTAAGTATAGTGCTCCCAACTGATGCACAAAGTTAATATGAACAGAATGCCATGAATAAAAGAAAACCAAGAATAATCAATACCTTAACCGTCAATTGGTAGTGGTCAGTATTTGAACTTTCATTTGGAAGAGCAACATAATTCCCATCGTGCATGCAGGTGCACGCAGGTTATAACCCGGTGAAGCACCTGTAGAACAATGTGTGTATTCACTTGGTAATATATTCTTGATTGCAGGGAGTTCAGCCACTGGAAGGTGAACAGCCTGGCCACAGAGAAGAGAGATTTTCTCAAAGCTCCGTTGCCCTTGGCACCAGAGTTCCTACGCAACCTGCGATTACTGGGGCGACGGCCAACCCTGCAGCAAATCAACGAAAACCTCATCAAGAAGTACGGGACCCACTTCCTAGTTTCTGCTACCCTGGGAGGTAAGGAAGGACCGCAGGTGATTACCTTTATCCCTGGGTTAGGAAGTGCTGAGACCTACCAAAAACTAGAAAAAAGTTTCTCAATTTAGCTCTCAGAGGAGCTTACAGTCTGCATCAAAAAGCACTGCATAGAAATTGCAAGTAAAATACCACAATTTCAATGGGACCCCTGCCATGCACCATGCAGGATCCAACCAGAGTTGTCTCCAGCGGTGGCAATTTTCCACTCATACTTTCCTCTGATGAACATTACACACAACTGCAGGAGTCTCACGAAGCAGCAGAGGGATTGAACTGACCTGTTTCTTTGCATATTTTGCCSTCTTTTTCTCTCTTTGTTGGATTTCTTTTTAGCCCTGATCCCTGAGGCGAGAGGTAATTCACAAAACTGAAGTGCTGGCGGTATTGATTGTGTGCACCTCACAAAAACAAGACCATTGGCTGTTTTATACTCAGTGTGATCACTTTGTGATGTTGATACACTGCTGAGCCCGAGCCGCACATCGCACGCTCCGGCTGTTAGTTGGGTCCGACAGTTAGCTGTTTTAATGTGTGTGGTCTTGTAATTAGTATCAATATTTAAAACTTAGATCATCGATGTAATTGCCAAGTCAGACTTATTAAATGCCTTGCATCCCTTGAAGGAATGCTAATCACCCTCTGCCTTTCATGCCAGARTATTAGACTAAAATTAGTCTATGTTGTGAAATGATGTGCTAGCTATGTAGGCCAAACTTTGAAAATCATATGATATTATAATATATTTTGTGACCTGTTAAGGCCAGGGTTGTGAATTATTGTCAGCTACTACCACATACATTATGTTAACATAATGTCAGAAAAAATCACTGAGATACAGTATAGCCATTTTTATGTAGGCTAAGGTTGTTTAGCTGTAGTTGCCATGTGGACTTAGATTGAGTAAGTTGTAAATGTTCATCTAATGGCTGGATTCTGAAAGTTTTATTAAAAACTGTTTAGTGGTTCAGCTGACACTTTGCTAACAGTCCAGYCTAATGTGCACACATGCAGGCAAAAGCATTATTTCTCTGCCTTTTCACCTTTACTGGGTGGTAATAATAGAGTGCCTGTGACATCATTTTTTATAATAACTATGAATGTATTTTTGTAAAGATATCATTGATAATACATTGTAAAAAACTCATGTTGTTGAGGAGAAGAAACAGGAAGTGATGTCAAAGGGGAATGCCTGAATGTAAACAGAGCATTGCACAGACTATAGAGAAGAATCTGATGTTTATTTAGAATATTTTAATCACTACCATAAAAAGATGAAAAAAGAGTCAAAGTTCAAATAATATTCTTTCAATAAACAAAAAACAGAGAGATTTCTTTCTCAATGAGTTCCCCTTTGATGTTACTTCCTTTTTCACTTTAGCTGAGCAAATTTCAAAAGAAAATGTGCCAATTATGTGACATAATAGGTTAAATCATTTGTATTATACCAAGTTTCTTAAATATAAAAATAATATTTATTTGACTTTTTGTATTTCAATTTTCATGTCACAGGCACTGTAATTTAGATATTTTTAAAAGTTCTTTGATGGTCCTTTTTTTGAGCCACTTCAGTAGAAAACATAATGTAATATATATTAGTTTCTTCATCATCAGTGACTCAATGAATTCTTTAATGGTCTTAAGATCATAACTGAACACTATGTTTTACTCTGAAAGTACCTCACAGATTTCACCCCACACAGTCGTCAGATAGTGGCTAACATGATTTTACATATAAATCCAGAAGACAAATCCAGTTTTCTGACAGCCACTCTATAGTATATGCATCCATAGACACCAAAGCTTGCAGCCATATACATTTTAGAGTTCTCACTCCAGCATCAGTGTGGGAGACAGAGCAGAGATGGATGCAGTGTCACACTGATAGGTAGACTCTACATGTAATTAACAGTCCCAGCTAAATGTGCTGAGCCAAGCTGCATACTGATTAGTTTGTAGCAGAGCAAAAGTGCACATTCCTGGTGTCTGTTTGTTGTTGTGCTTTTGTTCTACTGCTTTCACTCCATTTTTCTGTTTTGTAAAGTCTGCCAGCAGCCTCTATCTGCTCCACAGACTGCCTTTTTTTTTTCAAAAACTAAAGCAAACAAAATGATTTAACGATGCCATGGAGCTTTCAAATGGTATTTTGTTAGATTATGAATTGAGATGAATTGTATTCTTGTAATATTTTTTGATGTGACTGACTCACCAGTCTGTCATTATAAAATGACCCTTCTCTGACCACTTTCAAAACACGTTTTATTGGAAAAATCTACAGAGCGGCATGATTTGACACGTCAYCTAGCTTAATTTTTGTTTTGTTTTGTTTTTTGTAGATCGGTCATGCCACTTATTAAACTGCAAAAACTCGAAGGAGAAGACAAAAATAACCCAAATCTTAACAGGTAGCCTGGACTCCTAATTCATGTCAACAATAGAGATTAACATGTCAAAACACATGCAGGAGATTGTACATGCAAATGCATTTATAACCYCCAAATTAGGGTAGACTCTTTATCATTAGCTCTTCAAAAAAACTGTTCTGTTGGCAGAGCTCAAGGGCTCTGTCTTCTACCTGAATGCTCTTCTTTGTCTTCTATAATCTGTGTTGTTTTTCAACCCATTCAGTTTTCTCTGTTCTTTATTAATTTTTTTAACTATTACGTAACAGTCAAAAAGAAAAAAAAATAAGTACGTCCTCATAATGTGCCCCATCGGGGCACATGACCCTCTATGAACAATAGAGCTAATCAAGCCTATTGTTAGGCGATGGCCCTCTTTTGCATGTGACTAACCTGTTTGTCCACCATGTGGAGGCAGTGCTTATAAGGCTGAGTTCACCTGAAACTCATCAGACTGAAGAAGTCTCTTGGAGGAGAGACGAAACATTTCACTAAAGAAGAACCCAACCAGAGGACCTACTTATTTTTTCTTTTTGTTTTTTTTCTACCTGGATTACTGAGATGCATCAGGACATTACATGACAGTATTTATGAAAGAACTTTTAATAAGGTATGGACTTACTTACAAGCCAAATTTGTCATCTTCATTCTCCTCTTGCTCTGAGTCAGACTCTGGCTCCAACATGTAAGGCTGGATGGACAAGTCTTCCGTTGCTGACATCATTTAAATCGGTCCAATACTCAGCTTTGAATGTTTGTTTACACAAAAAGAAAGATTAGCACAAAAACATGCTTTTGTGTCAAAGCAATGCTTTTATAGTGAGCCTAGTCCCTCTCGGATATGATGTCATACCTCTACAACAATTCTACATTTCTGAAACCAAACACTCTATTCATACTGCTGGAGGAAAGCACAAAAACTTGATGATTCTTGTACTGATTAAAGAAAATGATTACCTGATTAAATGATCGCAGGGTATAAGATATAAGATTCAGTTAATCAACCAAAAAACATTGAGCCTGCCCATTGTCTTCCTATGCAATTCCGCTTGATTTTAATCTCACTTAATTGCCCTGTCTGGGTTTTTTTCCCATTGACATGGATTTTTCTGGTAGAATTTCAACCGAGCCAATCAGCGAACAGAAGGAGGAGTTGTGAATCATGACAATGATTTTCTGTGCTGTTTTAGTCTGCTTGTAGTTTAGCAATGGCAGCGGAGGAATTGAATGAAGCCATTCAGTCTGTGTTGACAAGGCTTACAATTTAAATAAAATTTATCTTGCAAAACCTGCAGCACTCATTTACAGCCGTCTCATTTCTCTCGGTACTTCTACCTTCCCAGTAGGGGATGGTTGTTTGCAGCACTCACAATTTCTGGTTAGTTTCTTAGCTTAGCTTCCTTCGCAGTCGAGCTGGCACACTGCATGTCACAGCCAAATTTTAGTGATTGGGTAAAATCAGATCCAATCATTTTAAACTTCAAAAGAGTCCATGCCTTCAGCAAGCAATCGTTTCTCCATGGCAGAGTCCAGACCCTCTGTATGAAGTGAAGCAAATAGGCTGTTTTTTACTAGACTACAAAACATGTAACACCACTATATAATCATATCCCTGCTACATTACAGTTCCACATAATAAAGACCCCAATTGAATTATTTAAATGTTTAAAAGGATCCATAATTAGTTGTAACATTAGACTTTATTTGATAAACATTGATTTTAACTGTAAAATAAAGACGGTAAAAATACTGTAGGCTGTTTAGTTTTGTAAATTTTTCTAAATATATTTTAACTCGGACCGAGCCATTTTATTTACACAGAAAGCATTCTGGGTAAATGATGATATGGATAGGTCCTCAGTGCAAGTGAGCTATATCCACCCTGAAGGGTAATCTTGGACAATATCTGACAATTATCTCTTTTAAATGAAACCAGAGAGTGTTGACAGAGAGGAGAAGGCAGAAATTATTCAGTCTACAACTGAAATGTGGATGGAGGACAACAGAGCTGCTTTATGGAAGAAGAACCTCAGCTTAGCCTGTTAGCCTTCATGCTGGCGCAGATGCTATATTGTCCTATATGTATTAGCTTGGTGCTAGCGAGACAAACTAACAGGATAAACTGAGGTCCTCCATCCATATTTTCAGTTACAGGCTGAGTCATTTTTGCGTTCCCCTCTCTGTCATGTGGATGGAGGACCTCAGTGACGAGAGGAGAATGTGTAGCAATGACCTAATAAATATATATTAGGGCTGCAACGATTAATTGATTAATCGACGACTAATCGATTATTAAAATAATCGACTTTAATAATCGATTAATCGTTTTCTTTTTGTTTTT